AGTGGCGCATTGTTCATGCTGACAATAAGCTTAATGCGGCCACCATCCCGGCTCAGACACCAATCCCTAGGAAGGTTGTTCTTCAGAACAATATGGTGGGATGTACAATGTACAGTGCGCTCGACTTAGTCGATAATTATTACCAACTTCTCATGCGAGAAAGCGATATTCCGCTGACAGCGGTCAGCACTCCAAGCTGTATGCTATGGGAGTGGATTGTTATGCCGCAAGGGTTAACAAATGCCCCAGCTACATTCAATCGTCTTGTGACACAATTTTTCAGACCTCACTGAGGTTATGCACAGACGTACTTTGATGACATCTTTGTCCATAGTCGTGCTATGAACGGGCGGTCAGATGTGGACAATCACATTGACCATTTACGAGCGGTGCTCGAGTGCATGCGCACGAATAAGTTGTACTCCAACGCGTCTAAGTGCATCTTTGGTGCAGAAGAGATCCCTTTTTAGGGTGCTTTATTGGTAAGCGAGTCCTTAAAGCGGATCCCGCTAAGGTTAAAGCCATAGTTGATTGGCCGATTTTAAAGAACTAAAAGGACTTACCTAAGTGGCTTGGCCTTGCCAATTACTTGCACAAGTACAGTTCGAATTACGCAAAAATGGCTCGGCCATTATCCAATCTCCTTATATAATATGGAATAGTGCTGGACTAAAACCGAGCATGATCCTTTTCAAGCAGTAAAGGAGAGTCGCATTCATGTGACAATCTTAGCTTTGCCTGATCCTGATCGATCTTTAGTGTCGTCTGTGACGCATCTAACGTTTCCAAATGCAGTGCTCTGTTACAAACAGATATTGATGGACTAGAGCGTGTCATCGCGTTTGATTTTCGATAGCTCAAAGCTGCAGAAAAGAGCTACCTAGTTCATAAAATAACTTACACGCAATAAAGTATGCTCTTGTCAAATTCAGAGTTCATCTGATTGGATCCAAGACATTTGTTATATATACCGATCATGCGTCATTACGTAATGCGACCCAGTCGCCTCCACTCTCTGAGAGAATGGCTCGTTGACTTTCCTTCTTTGTAACGTACAACTTCGAGGTGAAGTATATATCAGGCAATCATAGTGCTTGAACTGATGCGCTATTGCGCAGTCCTAATTAGGAGCTTGCTCATATTACGACTATGTCGTCTTCGGTCACCGACCTAATCCGTATGACGTATACCAAGGATAAACAATTTGTAGCTCTGCGATGTGCTCTTTAGAGCGAGTAGTTTAAGGACTCAGACATAGATTTTCCAGCACGTTTACGTGCGAGGCCTACATCGATATTCCATCGATCATAGCCTGTTGTGCTATAGCACTGGTGTGAAGGATACTCCTTGTATCGTTGTCCCTCATGATGAGGGGTTGACGTATCGGTTCCTCTATGAGGCACATGATACTGCGTTAAGGGGTCGTCTCGGTCGTGATATGACCTATGGCTCAGTAAGCCAATGCTATTGGTGGCCCAAGTTATATAAATAGGTAAGCGCATATATGCGTACGTGTGAAACGTGTCGACGGGTAAGACCCTCACCACACGCGGCAGAGCCGCTGTCTAGTTTGCCTGTACCCAAGGGGTGTTGGAAATGCATCAGCATTACTTTTCTGTTCGGGTTACCGAAGGATTCGTACGGAAATACGGGTATCGTGGTCTTTGCTGACCGTTTAAGCACGATGGCTCATTTAGCGGCGGTGCCAGATACTATTGATGGTGAAGGTACAGCGACGCTGTTTATCGATCGCGTGTTTCGACAACATGTTATGCCACTAAAAATAATCTCTGATAGAGACTTTTGCTACATTGGGAAGTTTTGGAAGTCCGTCTTCCAGGTGCTTGGGACAAGGTTGGACATGTCAACAGCGGATAATCCACAGACCGATGGTCAAGCCGAGCGCGTGGATCGCGTCATCGGTGACGTCTTGCGTAGCGTTTGCGCTGAAACACATAAACGTTGTAGATCGATGCTCCCTGGATTAAGGTTGCGTTGAACAACGCCGTGCATGCCTCCACCGGCTACACACCGTTTCACGTGAACGGTCTCACACACCCTCGCATTCCGTTTACGCTACCACTGCGTGGTTCAGGGGTTGGTGGGGGAGGAGTTGCCGATCGGCTTGCTGATATCAGCTCTGCTACTGTTCAAAAACAGGTAAGCTATTTTCTGCAACGCGATTGAATGTGTTACGATACGTGCGTGATGCACTGGCTGATAGCCAAAACAAATAAAAACAATCTGATGCTAAAGGCAGAGGTTGTATTGAACACAATGAGGTCGGAGACCAAGTTTTACTTAATGCTTAAGACTTACCTTCAAATGTAGTGTCTGCCGTCTTCAAGACAAAGTTGCGTCCGCGATTCATTAGACCATTAACGGTCGACGCCAACAAAGGACTTGCGTATAGTTTAACCTTTCGCTTAATCTGCGCACATACCCAGTGTTCTACGTTGGCTTACTCAAGCCGTATCGGGATCCGTCCCACGTGAACTTAGAGGCGCTTGCGCCGCGACATGTGGAATTGCCATCGGCTGCTAAATCCGAATCAGGAGTTCAAGTTGAGCTTCCATCCGGGTTGACCCAACTCTAGCGCCTGAAGGCGAGCTTGTGTCGCGTCGAGCGCGTTCTGGGTCATACCCAAGATTTCGCTGAGACAAATCATTTCGCGACGCAGCTCCTCAAGCTCGTCTTTCGGTTTACCGACATCCTCATACGCTGCTAGATGATCAAGGTACCGCCAGTTCCATTTGGGACGACTTCTATAACGACGACGTCGTTAGGGTCAATACAAGTGTCTGGTAAAGTGGCGAGGGTACCCGGAGTCGGAGAACTTATGGGCTTTCGAGATACCTCTTCGGCCAGGATTGCCCATACGCATTGGATGTTTTTAAACATCGTGGCATGGGTCATCCTGTGACCAAAGTCCCTTCTCACCCATAGTGGTGGAAGCCGGTGGGTAGCTGGGTGCCGCTTGACCAGCACTCACCTCAGTCGGCACAGCCGGCTCATAGCGTGTGCGAGTTCGCAATTGGCCTCTAGCCTTAAGCTTGGTGTAATCATAGCGAAGCTTTCGTTCTGGACGAACGTCTGCCACATTGGCACTTGCTCGTAGAGCGAAATTGCTGGTAAGGTGCCGTTCCAATGCATTCAGCGAACAAAATTGTTGCCCTCTTCCGCCTGCGATCTGCCCGCGACTAAGAGGATGGGTATACCCTTTATCCATGGAACCGGTGCCCCCCGTTCTTGCGTGTCAAGTCGCAACTTGTATTGACTTTGAGTCGTAAAGAAAGGTTCCAAGTACCTCTCGCGAAGTACTTGGCGACTCACAACCTCATCAGAGGATGATGGCTCAGCGCCGATGGCCCACGTTGCCAGAGAATGACCTGTCGTTTGGCGTATACGTTCTTCTACACCGAGTGGAGTAAACAAATACCCACGACGTCCCTCAAGGGTTGCAGAAAGCTGCATACGGCGCTGAGCGCTCTCCTCGTGATGTATTGCTAGTTGTTGTTGCTCATCGAGCGGATTGGTGATGATTGCATCGCCCACGATGGGTGTTTGATGCGGCGCCAATGGCGCGTTGACTTCGTCACGTACGGCAAATGAATTCGGCGCAGTATGAGGCCGTGCCTCTTGCACTGGTGAGTCCGACGTTTTCCTATTTCATCAGGAACATTGGTATCACTACCATAGTCCACCTCCTCCTCAATACCGAGGTACGAATAAAGAGTCAGAAACTCATGGGCTGGCGATGCCATGGTGGTTCGGGTTTTGCAATCGTGAGGTAAAGCGCACACACACCGTCCTCTTCGAGGAAAGACTTCGATTAACGTTAGGGGTCACGTCAGTCTGGTAGGAAGGTGTAGCGGGATTACACGTCGGCTGGTGGTCGACGATAGGTGTGGTGCACACAATAGATGGGACCCCTTGAAGTAATATTAAAACACAGTATCAATTGTTGAAGACTGATGCCTGTCAACCATTGATTACGAGATCTTTTGAGAGGTTTTAATTAGTACATTAGCGAGTAGGTTAATTACATTGTTCTAAGGTGTCCTTTTAGGTTAAAAGACGAAATAAAGTTCAGTTCCCATTTTGATCCGAAAGACACAAGCCTCTCTGAGGCGTATTGTGATCGTTGGAGGAGACTATCAACGCCTTACTAAGGCAGATACTCCTTTTGCCCATTGTGCATTGATTCTCTGAATCGTTTGGTCCCCCTGGAACAGGGACCGTTAGCTCTCTGAGCTGTTGACTCTCTGAGTTGGGTTCTTTGAACCAAACCTTAGCTCTCTGAGCTGTTGACTCTCTGAGTCAGGTTCTTTGGACAAAAGTTGATCGTTGAGCGTTAAGTCTTCCTCTGACCTAAGGAGCTGTGTAGCTCCGCTTTAATAGGGTAGCCCCTTACATGAAATCGTCATTAAGAAGATGATGACCATAAATAATATTGTGTTGAATATTTATAAATAATAACACTAATCGTGGGGACATTGTTGGGACGGCCAAAGAGTCTACTCATTGGTTGATATCGTGATGATATCAACCCACCAATCGCTGCAAGACGCCCGCAATGGGTGGTGAGTAGACGTCATCATACATTCAGTTTCATTAGTATAATTAAGTCAGAACAAGTAAGAGATACAAGAGTTATAGACTTAATTATATTAATCAAACAGTTATATCTTTTCCTCAATACAGAGCTTCCGGGTCTGTCTTACCTACGGCTTCCTCGGTTGCCCTGTGTACGCTTGTCGGGCGCACGTTACCCTTGCGTTAGGTTCACGCAAGGGTTGTGCCCCGTTACATCCGCTACACGCATCGTGACTTATTTGTTTATATTGACTTGTGCGACCCGAGCACCTCGTCTTGACACGTTCCAGGTGTAGCTAGTAGATCATTCCACCTCAGCATAGATTACTTGAGCGTAGTGAACATCCTTTATTTACTTTACCAGAGCTGCCTTACTTTCTGCTCCATAAATTGCTCAATAAAGGCTAGAGGCCTACGTACCCTTCTTCAGCTTCGTCCCCGCAGTCTGCGTCACCATAATCATCAGTGCTATCAATCGTCGAGACCACAAAGCTCTCTCGAGAACTTAGTGCAATCGTGATAGCGCGAACGCCTTCGCCTGTGATAAAGTTGTCTTGTAGTATGAGAGTACGTAGACCGGCAAGTCCCAGTACGCATAGCCGCCCGCGATCACACTCGTCTTCCGAGATCATCTTGTGATTGCCCTCCATGCAATCATAACAGCTCAAGTCTACCACTAGATTGTCAAGTGAATCTGCGAGTGTGAGTGCATCCGTGTCGGTCAAAATGTTGCGGCTGAGGTCTAGCGTATGGAGATTGCTGAATAGCTCGATGGCCTCCAGCAGGTCGCGACAACCGGTCTCGCCGATGAAGTTGTTGCGTGCAGTCAATGTTTCGAGCTGTTTAAAGAACGTGCCTTGAGTCTCAAACAGATCAGCGAGCTGCTGGACACCCCTATCTCCTAGAAACGTCGCATCCAGTACCAGGTGCTTCAAACGAGCTCGAGCCGGTTCCTCCTCCAATGTGGCATCCGTCAGCGCTCGCAGCACCACCAACACGGCGTCGCTCTCCGTGGCAAAATCGAATGGAGCAACAAGCTTCAGCTCCTGCAGCAAAGGACACGCGCCTCTACTAAACGCCTCAGCGACTTCACAAACCAATTGGTAGCCCTTCGACGCGTGCATCGACCTCGTGAGGGCTCTGGGGAACACAACATTGGCCCTAACATGTGTCTGGTTCACCTGGTTCGATATCGTAAGGCTCGTGAGATTATTGCATTGATGCAACAAAGTGCTCAGTCCGTACGCAGCTCCATTGTCTCGAACCCGCGTGTGTGCAATTGCGACAGAGGCTGCGTCAATGTGCAGTGTCTGCACAAAAGGCGGTGTCTGGAGGTACAAAAACTTGCTGACGAATCTGCATCGTAGCACGTCCCTTCCGTCTAAAAAACTGCACACGTGGCGCAAGAGGTCCAAGTTACTGGTGAGCACGCACTCACTGGCGCCTGAAGTGCCGCGGTCACGCGTATCTTCAGTCATTGTCAATTCAGGTCGTTGTCGCTTGGCAGCAGACGCGCGGATAGACTCGACGACGCCGTCCCTCGACTCTGTGTCGGGCCGTTTCCGCTTGTAGTGCGTCACGAGACTTTGTACGCGTCGCTCGAGTGACGGCTGATGCAGATACTCGCTCAAGGACCCGGCACAGTAGTAGAGCATCCACTCGAGACGCTGCAAGAGCGAGAGACTCGTGCCCGTGGACGCTCTACTCGTTTGCAAGATCGGGTGGTGCTGCGCCAATGCCGGGTGACTCTGCAAGCGCACCATCATGAACTTCCGGATTTGCACGTCGGTCGGGTCGTACCATGTCGAACCAGACGCGGGCTCGGATGCGACGCCGACTATCTTCATGGTGGCTGGTAAGCTTGCAGGCGAAGTCGAGGCCCTTGTGCAGGACGTGGTCGGTTGCGAACTGAGCGAGCGATAGTCAAGAGCTGATGGTGACGATGATGATGGTGGTGCTGGTGCTGGTGGTGGAGTCCGGAGATGTGGCGGGGAAAATCCCGGACCGAAAAGTGAAACTCACTGCGTTTTTTCTCCGATCTGGACAACGATCTACGATGGTGAGCGTCGAGAAAAGGCGAGCTCGCAGGAAGGAACGAGCTTTGCGTGCGCGCGCTCGCATCCACGCCCTTTGCTCCGTACGTACACTGCGACGTCGTGGCTCCATACGTTTCGACGACCCTCGCGGGTTGAGTCCGTAAGCCGCACAAGCGCCAACGGTGCATGATTCCGTCAAATTGCATGGCTCGAATCACCTGGCGAGTCACAGATCATCGTGTCAGTACGAGGCGTTTCGAGCGAAACCTCGGCCACGCACTCAGGACACGCTGTATAAAAGATGCCCTGTGCAACTTTGCCGGGCTCGCGCTCTGGTCGAATGCGTACGTACCGCAGATTGTGCTGAACTGCCAGCGCATAGTCAACGTGATCGAACACTGTCATACTATCATCTGACGCACAGAAAGTCGAGCTCGGCGTTCATGTGTATGAATGGGGGGAAGTGAGAGAGAGAGAGAGAGAGAGAGAGAGAGAGAGAGAGAGAGAGAGAGAGAGAGAGAGAGAGAGAGAGAGAGAGAGAGAGAGAGAGAGAGAGAGAGAAAGAGAGAGAGAGAGACGAAAGGAGAACAAACGGCTGAGGGCTTCGACAAACGATAAATAGTCTGTCCGTTACTCGTTCGTTCCACAATCGCGACAGCATCCCGTGAGAATTGAACGAAATCGGAGGCACCCGCTGCTAGATGGCCGTTGCCGGCAACGAGGGTATCTCACACGCCCACAACATAAAGCACGTCGGAAGGCACGAACCTCACTGTCGAGGATATTAAACTATGAGGTGCTAAGGAATGCAACATACCGAAAAGAAATGAAGACGGTCCGCGAAGAACTGAAAAGACTCTCCATGTCTTTTGTCACTCGATACTCGTCAGCAGTTTGGATACGAGCTAGTTCCGTTTGGCTTGGGGAATCCTGCTGAGGTGCATGCGCACTAGACAGGACATGCCGTAGAAAAAGAGATGGCAGCGACCCTTCAAGACGGATATGTGCACTAGCGTAAGCGCAGGCGAGACTGTGTGTGTTTGCCCGGCGCAGCAGCTATCGTGGTAGTACAGGAGGCGTCGCCGCCACCACTGCCACCAATTGCGTCGCACCACAAACTGGCCTCAGTGCCAAACAGCTTTGTATGGTGCAAATGACGACTGACACGATGCCTCTGGACCGTTGCAGGCATTAGGTCACCGTGTGCATTTGAACGTGCCTGTTCGGTATCAGAAGTACCGACAAACTTCACTTACTCACAAATTCCCGCCTGTAACTGCCGCTCTGACAAAGTTCACTTGCTTGAGACGAAGCTGCTTACACTTGCCTGCTGACGTATCCTTACTCTTCCGGACATACTCGCTAATTTGAGCACTCTAGTGCTTTGGCGAAACGGGTGCGAAGAAAATAGCATATACACCAAGGAGAGATCTGAATGGGTGATCGCACGGCTGGTAGCGATGCTGCGGGACGAACGTATTTAATCGATGAGAACGAACAAGAGCGACGGTCGGCCGCGATGAGGATCAAATAAATTGGGCACTGCATCAAAATAGCGAGGGAAATGACAATGAGCTGGAAACAGCAACGTGGGCTGATAGATATTAATGACACAGAAGGCGCCGTACTGCATGGCGAACTAGATTGGCGATTACAGGAAGGCCGCACACTGGAGACACCGAGTTTCTGCATCGCCTAGCTAAGCAGCATTCCATGCACAACGTCCAGTAGACAGCTTGCTTAGCTACGACGATGATAGCCTTCGGACGCTACCATCGACAGGGCAGAAAGGACCGAAGGCTATCGTTGTCGTAGGCCGATACATCTGTCCTGAACGAGGGAGGGGTAACCACACAAATGACGAGTCAACTACCAGGTTCATGTATGTGCTGTCCGGTGATCATTATCTGGTTTTACTGTGTCTCGCTACGCTACTTCTCGGTTGGATTGATGAGAACAAGTGCGCAATGCTCCCACGCTTTAAACGTTAAAACATTGTCTCCAAAAAAGAAGTGATATAGTCCATTTGCACGGTGTGGTAACCATGTGCGATATATCCGGTGAAGTCTGAGCCACAACTGAAGCTCCGAAGGATGACGTGGGTGCTGCTTGTCGGCAATAGCAGTTCAACACGGGGTTCTTTATAGACTCGCGTTCCACCATGCATGCAAAAAGCATTCCCGAGATCGTGGACGCTACTTTTGATGCTCACTCTGTTCGCGATTGCACGTAGCTGGCAATTGCAGGTAGCCCAAACCTGGTTGTGTCTCAGCGAATACCGTATGTCGCCGGTTAAAAGATGGCATCATTTTACACTGACCGAATCTTTGCTTGGCATATCGTGGACAGCTTGTGCCGTTGTCGATCCGTATTCCTCCCTGTTCCACATGATGGTATAAACTGACCGCCAAAACCTCCTGGTAAGGCAAGGGTATACCTCATACTGGCGCACGCATCGAAGAAATGCTGTGCTCGCTGACGGGACACTCATCTCCCGGTCCAGTGTGCCACTAATGTGTCCCATGGAGCTACAGCTTACGGACATTTTGAAACATAAATGCCCAATGACTTCACGTATCCGAAAGAGGCAAGTAACTATGTGTAACTATTGTCCTCGTTTTGTACAGAATGTTCGAAGTTGAGCTGGCCAAATGCGACCCGAACCCTGTCCAGACTTTGTAAATCGTAGATCAAGTACAGTGGTCTTAGACTTGCCTTGGGACTTTCCACGAGCGAAGCGCATTGCAAACTTTCCTGTCCAGTCTTTGCGACAAGCCGGTTGCATATGCAGCCATAGACGGGTGAGCACTGTTATGCCAAAGTGTGAAGCTTGTGCTGTCCTAACCTTGTTTTTATCAAAGTCTGGAACGTCTTACACGGATGGGACAAAGTGCGAACGTCTGTGTGTCAACGATAAAGTGAATGCCAAGAACTGTGAGCTTCATCCAGTGAAATGGCTGCATTAGACGTACTTTTGCAAAGCTTTAGGATCAGTGAGGTCAAAGTTTTGACACACGGCAGACATGAACCGAGCGTTAATACATAAGCGCCACAATCGATATTCGATGAGTTGGTTGGGAAGGTATTCATCACAGGGAAAGCGTCGTCTGGATCGCATGCACACAATTTGGATCCAAAATCGACGCCATTGACGTCCTGTTTTGAGTTGGGATACCTAGTGCAAAATGGAGTCACCTAAGTCACGCGACACTTTGCTTCGAGCATTCCAAGTAGAAAGACTTGGATGCAAGCGTGCAGCAAAATATATGGCACAGCATATCATACATTATATTGCCTCGATCGAACCACTGACCTGCTTCGCATGACGTCGACACCGGCAGCATATGTAGTAGACTTTACCCGTCAATGGAAACACAATTTTCGTGACAATGTACCGGGGACAGCATGACCAAATTCCGGATGAATACAGGTGACTGGGATGTAAACACGTTGTTGATTGCAATACGGTCAGTGCGCGGCACCATGCGACACGACACGATCGAGTAATTCGGAATCGACGGATAGCCGAACTATCCAACCGAATAACCTCTGGGCGATGATGTCTGAATAAGTATAATGTGACGAATTTAACCATGCGACACGACACGTCACTCATATGATTGTATCGGTGAAGGCAGCTACTGTGACTGACGCAAGGCCAATATCGCCAAACGCGATACCATACCTGTTAACAGTACGAACGGCAAGCGTGATCAAACCAACGAGACACAACGACAACTTCATTTTATTTCAAGTTAGTTATCTTCGCTAGAAAATGAACCGATGAGAAACGGAGTTGCGTAGCTACAAATGGAAGCCGAGAAACCCGTGCCGAACCTCACAGGAAAAGAGTCGACGAGTGGTGCTGCTATACTTGCTACGAAGAAGCGCGCGAGAATCAACTGGTCGGTCACACCAAGCGAAAAAACGCTATGTGTCGAGGTCGAACGCTATCTGCTTGGTTTAGCATTTTGTCGTACCTGAGCAGCAATTCTTGCAGCACGTTTCGGTCACAGTACCTAAGTACCCATTCTGGAAGCAATGGTTGTCCGCGGCAACATGACGGCTGCCTAAGTTGCAGGGCGGGTACGCAATGACCCAACTGCATATTCGTCGTCGGCAGAAGTCGGGACGACAGCGGCGACGATGACGAAGAAAATGGCGGCTTTGACGTTCATTCTTGACGAGGTCGGAGGCTTCGAATTGAGTGGGGTGGTCGTGTGCGGTGCGTGGCGAAAGGACGAATGAATGAGACGTTCTAGCAGTTCTCAAGAAGCAAGCGCACCATAGGAGCAATGATAAGCTAGCGATAGGAGAGGTAGGGGCTTCGATGCAAGCGATACGACAAATAAAGACGCACTGTCGCAAGTGCACATGACCAGTGCGTTCCACAACCCTGCAAGCATTCGTGGGTTGCGATCAGCTGGCTGTACTTGTTTGCGTGGACTCGCGTCAGTCTCATGCATTGTGTCTACGCATATATAGCACGCGACCTTTGACTACAGCCTTTTGTGTCTACGTTCGCTTGCAACAGCTGGTACGTTACGGTCATTGCTTACAATACGTACCTCTTCCGACTGCATATGTACAGCTCATAGTAATTCTATAGCAGCTGTAGGATCGATTATCCACTATTCTATCTTGACCCAACAGCTGTAGTAAACAATTCTCGACTGTTCCATCTTGATCCAACAGCTGTATTCGACAATTTTGGACTGTTTCACCCTGACCCAGCAGCTGTAGCATTCAATTCTCCACCTGTTTTATCTGGACCCGGCAGTTGTAGTATAGACTCGCCATCTGTCCCATAT